ACTGTTCTAAGGTTAGTGTCCTTGTCAGATTAACTGTGACTAAGTCTTTTTCAATGTATTCTTAACCCTTCTGATTTCTCTTGAATACCCTTATTAAATTTACACATAAGGGTATTCAACAGTATTAATTCTTAAGATACTATCCCTTGTTTTAGACTAAAAAAAACAAATTAGGAAATTAGGACAAATTAAAGAATTAGTTTGAATCATGGTGAATTCAAGATCTATTCAAAGTTTACTATTTTTAATAATAGATCAGAACAATGGAATGACCTATTTACTATTCTATCCCTTCAGTGAAAACAGTTAAGCAAACCCAATTTACTCTTGTACACTTGTGAGACAATATATTTTAACCATAATTCCCTTACATTTGTTTCTATTTTCAACTGCATTCCTTTGCCTCTTTTTGGTGGTCAAATATGTTTCTCAAAGGGTTTTCTTAAAATGGCATTGCTAGTTTATCTATTTCTAAAATAAACATTTCAAAATGTTTATTTTAGAAATGGTATAGTTTCTTTCAAAAATATGATTTTAAGTTTAAATCACATATTTTTTATTTTAATTAACCAATTTCTGATGGAAGTTTTAAGTATAAATAATTAGTTCATTTAATTTGCGAATACCTTTAGCATGCTGTGAACTGTAAATTAATATAAAATGAATTCATTATGAGTATCCATTTTTTCATGGTCTTTTCTATTGTTGTACTGTAGCAAGTGCTAACTAATGTGGCAGAATAATTGATTTTCTATTGTCATAGCTCCAGATGGTCCTCCTGAAAATGTGCATGTTGTAGCAACATCACCTTTCAGCATCAACATCAGTTGGAGTGAACCTGCTGTCATCACTGGACCAACATTCTACCTGATTGACGTCAAATCAGTAATACATGTCTTACCTTCTTTTTAAAAAGGCAGTATGGATCATGATTAAGGATGCAAGTTTTGGAAACAGACTACTTGGTTTGGAGTCCCAGATCTGTTAGACCTTAGGCAGTTTACTTAATCTCTCTGTGTTTCAGTGTTTGTATATGTAAAATAAAAAATAATAGTAGTCTGTAGACAGTCCATGAGGACTAAATCACTTAATAATGCATAAAAATCTTAGAGCATTTCCTGACACAAAGTAAGTGCTACTAAGTATCAGGTTTTAGTAAAACAATTATTATTATATTAATTCTCAGGGGATAGATT